TATAGTATTTTTTAATAAATTTAATATAGATTTTTTATCAAATAATTATTAAAAAATTAAATTAAAATTAATATAAAAATAAATAAATAATTATTGAATTTTATATTTGTTATTAATTTATTTGAATAAAATAAAATTTAAATTTTTAAATAATAATTAAATTTGACCTAATTTCCAAACTGGATTAATTTAAAGTTGATAAATTATATTGATTTTTAAATAATATATATAATATTTATAAGACAGTTACTAATAAATCAAAAAAAATTTTAAAAAAATTATTATATTTAAAGAATCTGAATTTAATATTATTTGTTGAAATATTGAATTTATTATTTAAATATTATAAGGCTTTATATAAAACAATAAATTTTACAAATAATATTGATAGTTATTTAGAATAAAACAAATTAATATAAAAGATATTAAATAAGAAATGAAATTTTTAATTCTTATATCTTTATAAAATATAAAAGATTTATTTGTTATAATTCAATTTGTAAATTATAATGAAAGTATTAATTTATATTTGAACAAATTTAATTTTTTTTCTATATATTAAATTAATTTTTTAAATGATATTGTATATTACAAATTGATTTTTATTTAATAGTTTAAACCAATTAATTCAACAGATATGAAATTTTATTTTGGCTTAAAAAATAAAATTAATGTTGAATTATAAAGTACTGAGTTTTACTTAATTAAATACAAATATATAATTTCTATTCATAATATTTTTGATCAATTTATTTTATTTAGATATAAAAAATTTCAAATCAATATAATTCTTATAAATATTTAATTATAATTTTATCAAATCATAAGTATAATATTTAAAAATACTAAAAATTTAGCTAAAATATACATAATACAAATTTGTATCTAGTTTTATTTTTTTTAAAAATATTTTTAAAAATATTTTTTTTGATTTTTTTTTAATTACTATAATTAATTAGTCTTAATATATTAAATATTTGATGAATATTAGCAAATTAAATAAAAATAAAATAATGTTTTTATTATTTGACATATGTCAAATTGTTAATGAATATCAATATAATAAATGTTTTATATCTGAATATTTGACAAGTGACAATATGCAAATAACATTATTTGACTAATGTTTTCAAAGTATGATATATATTTTTCAATATAAAATGTGTAATATTATTTATATTCAAGATTTTTTATTATATAAAAAATATGAATTTTTAAATATAACTTTATTAATTGTTACGCATTATAAAAAAATCAAAAAGACTTTTTTTTTTGTTATTTTATAATAAAACCAGAATAACAAAGATTCATACTATTTCATAAAAATATAAATACAATATTATTATTTTGTTCTTTAAAGAAATATATACTGTATATATATTAAACAAAACAAATTAAAATAAAAAGTCAAATATTTGCTTGATATGATTTTTTTTAAGAAAGAATTGTTTGCATTCAAGTCAACGTGAGATAATGTTCCAAATATTTAATTTAAGGTAATTTAATTTTTGATTTTATATTAATAGCATTTTTAAAGATTAGGTTTTGAAGATTCATGTATAATATTAAAAAACCTTTTTTTTATTATACCGTTTCATTCGGTCTTAAGATCATGTTTTTTATTAAAAAATTTTTTTTCGGTAGTAACTAATTAGGTTTTCAAATATGGGTAGTTCTTTTCGAAGGCGGACAGGGATTTTCGGTTACTATAATTGAGATCATAAAATTTACATTGTGTATGTATTGTTTAAAAGTAGGGACCGAAAAAAATCATATCTAGCATTTATGCTGCCTTCAAAAATAATTATCCAATATTTATTAACAGCCCTTGAGCCATCATCTAACCAGATTTTCATTTAATTCTTCGATTGCCCTGATTGTTGCTGATTGAACTAAATCTTAAATATGCAAAAGATTTTTCTTCGTGTGGCGTTGTACACGCTCGTTTGCTTTGGGCCTTGTTAAGATGACAATAATTTTCAGGTTCATTCGTCGTTCCCGGTTTTAATTTGAACATATTTAATGTTGTGGCGTTGGTATACATAATTTAGAAATTCTTTCCAAGAATGGTATAATATACAGAAAATTGATTTGAAAAAAAAAGGAAGTATAGTATACGGTTAATTATCTTTGAGGTCGCAATTCAAAAAACAATGTAATTCGAATTGCCCTCATTACCATTGTTTAAAATGAATGAAACCTTTTTATCTGTCATCAAAATAATTATCTATGCTTAATATCATAATGCCCATAATTTATTCACGGACATGTAGTTCTTTTCGGGGTGCTACCACAACATCATTGATGATTTTATCAATGGTTAATGTGGGCATTATGTCGGTCATGTGATTCACAAATAGGTTTTTTTACACTAACTTCTTTGTCATTAGCGTTATTACACATTACGCCAATACTTGATTGAGTTCACTAGTTTTTAACTGTAGTACATAAGTATCGCCTTATTTATAATGATTAAACAATTGCATGCGTAACATCAAACCAGTTCGTAACTTGTTTGTATGCAATATAACTTTCTTACGGGTTGCTCGTCTCAACTCTTATTCTCTCTTTGCTTGAGAGATCAAAATTTTTTTTCCAACCGACTTTTTGAAACCAATCTTTAATTTAAGATGGCCTTTTTTGAAGAAGCTGCTCATTTCGTCAAGGAAGTCGTTACCGGCGAAATTTTTACTGATAGTGGCGGAACTCCAGCTGACGTTGAAAGGTTCTTTCGACACGGATCTTTTTCTAGAGTACGGGAAAATGTCTTTGTGAAATGGTATGTTGACGGGAAAAATTACTTCCATGCCGTTTCTGAGGCTCTCCTGTCCGCAAAGGAGGAAATCTTTATCGAAGATTGGTGGCTCTCTCCGGAATTGGTGAGTTTCAATGTCGACTTCACATTTCTGAAAAAACAGAAATCATCACGTGATTTCATGTGATACGCATAAATTTATTCTCATTCAAAATGCTAGTATCTTCGAAGGCCTCCTAGTAAAAACGAGGAATATCGTCTCGATAGGATCCTCAAAAAGAAGGCCCAAGAGGGAGTGAAGATTTACGTCGTCCTTTTTAAAGAGGTGACTCAGGCTTTAACTTTGAATTCCGAACATAGTAAAGCAGTATTGCGAAGTCTAGACGACAACATTTATGGTAAGATTCGACGTAATTTATTCTATAATTCTCTTTTAGCGCTCTAAAAATACTATTATGATCCTACAGTCCTAAGGCATCCTGATCACGGTCTTGACGGAAAAGGAACTTTCTTTTGGGCGGTAACTGTACAACGCGTTTATTTATACTCTGCATGATCATATTAACTGATTATTATTTGAAACAAAACTTCAGCATCATGAGGTAATCACTTCACTTCATTATTTATCGTTGGCTCACCTCAAATCATTGAGACATTATTATTATTGCTATTATTAGAAAATGATCGTTGTCGATCGTCATACAGCCTTCATCGGTGGGTTGGACTTATGCTTTGGACGTTATGATACGGGTGTCCATCAACTCTCAGATTTCTCTCATATATCTCACAAATACTCGGTATGGCCC